GATGGCAGTATTTTATCATGTGCCAAAGATACACAAGTCTCTCAATAACCCCCCTGGGCGTCCAATCATTTCAGGGATTGGTTCCTTAACTTCGAATTTGTCAGAATATGTGGATACATTTTTGCAAACCATAGTTACCCAACTCAAATCTCATTTAAGGGATACTATGCACATTATACAAATTTTATCAGAAGTAGAATGGCAAGAAGAATACATGCTGGTTTCAGCGGACGTTACATCGCTATATACGGTAATAGAGCACCTACAAGGTTGCGAAGCGATCCAGTACGCACTTGCCACTTTCTCAGAACTTAAAAATGATCAAATAGACTATATAGTCAAATGTGTGGCATTTATTCTAAGTCATAATTTCTTTTGGGCCAACAACCAACACTACTTGCAGGTAGAGGGGAATGCCATGGGGACCAGATTTGCACCAAGCTATGCAAATCTTTTTATGGGAAAATGGGAGGATGAATTTATCTGGACCCATAACCCATACGGCGCAAATCTGGTCCTGTGGCGGCGCTATATCGACGATTGTATTTTTATTTGGAGAGGTGACTCAGTTTTATTGGATTCTTTTAAACAGTTTCTCAATTTTAATCCATACAATTTAAAGTTCACTTTTAATCAATCAAAAGAAAAACTGGAATTTTTAGACTTGGAGATATACATTAAGAACAACAAAACAGAAACTAAAACATTTAGGAAGTCAGTAGCATGTAATAGCTTTATACCATACAACAGTTTTCATACACCTATTTGGTTAAAAAATATACCATTCAGTCAATTCCGACGAATCAGAAGAAACTGTTCAGAACCCAAAATCTGTATTCAACAAATACAAGAGATGAGATCCCAATTCCAAGAAAAAGGTTATTCTGAAGATACATTAGACAAGGCTATCATCAAAACCATTGAAATACCACGGTCAAAATTTTTAGAAGCAAAGCCCAGAATTCCTTTCAATCAATCAAATACTCTCCTACCTTTATCACCAGATTCAATCACCATTCAGGTCAGATAAAGAAAATCTTACAAAACAACTGGAACATTCTCAAAGGAGATCCACAATTGGATAAAATATTAGGTAACCAACCACGGATTATTCATTCAAAAGCACCCAATTTAGGTATCCTATTAGCCCCCACAACAAAACAAGAGGAACCTACAAAACAAAATCCCACAGTTTCTACACACATGAAAGGCTTCTGGAAAGGCAAAACATGCATAGCATGTAAAAATAATCCTGACCAACCCATCCATAGCAAGGAATTTGTGCACCCTCAAACTAAAGAATAATTTCCAATTAAAAATCATTTAAATTGTAACACCAGTGGAGTGATTTATATTTTAAGCTGTCCCTGCAATAAAATATATGTAGGACGTACAAAGAGAGCTTTTAAAGTTAGAGTCAGTGAACACATTAAAACATTAGAAAAGGCCTTAATGTACATAACCTTTCAAAACACTTTGCCATTAAACATGAAAAAGACCCAAAAGGATTAAAATTCAGGGCCGCCATCAGTGGGTGACAACCATAACGGTTATCACGGGCCCGGCGGTCCTTGGGGCCCGGACTGCTTTGGCAGTCCAGGGCCCCACAATTACTCTCTGCACCTATATATAGCGATGGTCGCTATATATAGGTGCAGCCGCGGGCCCCCGGCTCCCTATACTTGCAGAGGGGGCCCAGCAGACTGCAGGAGCACATTACAGCTCTTCCCTCTCTCTAACTCCCGCAAGAAGTGCGGCCATTAGAGCGTTGCCATGGGTTATGTGGTGTGCGGCGTGCACACCACGTCTCGCTGGAGTTAGAGAGAGGGAAATGCTGTAAAGTGCTCCTGCATTCCGCTGGGCCCCCTCTGCAAGTATAGGGAGCTGGGGGGCCCCACCATGCCACCTGACCACCAGGGATGGAATCTCTCCACCTCCCTGGACCAGGTAAGAAACAGGGAGGGGGGAATAACAGATTACATTTACAGTCTTACATTACATGCATACATTAGTAAACACACACACACCCTGATTTCATTACACTAACACACACTCTGCATTCACTACACTAACACACACACTGCATTCATTACACTTACACACACACTGCATTCATTACACTAACTAACACTCTGCATTCACTACACTAACACACACACTGCATTCATTACACTAACACACACTCTGTATTCATTACACTAACACACACTCTGCATTCACTACACTAACACACACACTGCATTCATTACACTAACACACACACTGCATTCATTGCACTGACACACTCTGCATTCATTACATTAACACACACTGCATTAATTGCACTAACAGACACTCTGCATTCATTACACTAACACACAGTCTGCATTCATTACACTGACACACTCTGCATTCATTGCACTGACACATTCTGCATTCATTACACTAACACACACTCTGCATTCATTGCACTAACACACACTCTGCATTCATTACACTAACACACAGTCTGCATTCATTACAATGACACACTCTGCATTCATTGCACTGACACACACACTGCATTCATTACACTAACACACAGTCTGCATTCATTACACTGACACACTCTGCATTCATTGCACTGACACACACACTGCATTCATTACACTGACACACTCTGCATTCATTACACTAACACACACACTGCATTCATTACACTGACACGCTGCATTCATTTCACTAACACACACTTTGCATTCATTACACTAACACACACTGCATTCATTGCACTACACACTCTGCATTCATTGCGGGGGAGGGGGGGAGTCCGGCCGGCTGGGCGGGGGGGGGGAGGGCATGGGGGGTCCAGACCTTGTGCTTTGTTAGGGGCCCCAAAATTTCTGGTGGCGGCACTGTTAAAATTTATGGCAATACAGAAAGTTAATATTCCATGGAGTGGGGGAGACCTAGAGAAAGAATTGGATAAAGAGGAAGCTAAGTGGATTTTTAAATTAGATACTCTGGAACCTAAAGGGTTAAACATGGACTTCGAATTAAATGCTTTTTTATAGATTGTTTTTTAGAGGTTGCTTTTTACAAGTATCTTTTAAAGGTTGTTGTTTTTCAGTATAATCAGTTTTTAGCATTTAATTCCTTTTCTCATTTTAAGATAGTCCCATTTTTTATATATATATATATATATATATATATATATATTTTTTTTTTTTTATATATTTTTATTACACTTTTTCATAATTCTTATTTTTTTATATATCCATTTGGCCAGTTTTCATACTGGTTCCCATCTAAATCTAAGTTATTCTTTCATATGGCTATCTCTCTACTAGCACAGTTTCTATTTTTTTCCATATTCGTCATTACATATCCATTGATTACTAGTATGTTTAAGATCCAACTATTAGACCATTCAACTCCTTATCTATATAAATTTACTATCCATGTTTATTTGTATATTGCAAACTATACAACCAAACGGTATTCGATTTCAGTGAAATGTTCTTTATTATTGCAAAGCTTGTACTTATTGTAGACAG